TTTTTCAAGCCCTGCTGGATGAGGGCTTATCAACGCCGTGCAGCACTCAGGGGTTATTTGACCATACTTCATGGTGTAGGCAGCGGGGAGCATAGAAGTGCAACACAACTGGGGATTTTTTGTCACTTCTCTCTGCAGCTGACCCCTCGCAAAGTAAACCTGTTCTGCATGGTGGTCACACACATAGCTCTATCCAGGCTCAACCCTGCCTATCTTGGGAGATCTGATGAGATCAGGCGTATTCCAGGTGATTTGGTCCTAGGCGTGAAAACAACATGGCTCACAAAGCACGGATCATATCCAAAACAGCTGCGGAGAGTCTAGTTACGTGGGTTTAGTACGTGCATTACTGCAATGACCTTCACATCACACATCCTTTCAGGCTCGTCCATTAGGAATACAGTGCACTGTATGGCGGTGTCAAACCGAGTCGGATATACCCATTGGCAACCGAAGTAAACGATACACACTCCTTTCAATGCATTGTAAAAGGTTTGTACCAGTAGTTTCCTAAAAAAAAACCTCATGGGCCTCTGAGATCCGACACCAGGACACAGGCGGGTGGTTATAGAGGTAGTGGCAGAGAGGCAGGGAAAGAAGACCCCAGCTGTTTGCACTGTGTGTTTAACCTTAATCGCGTGGAGCAACTGTGCAGTCTAAAACGAACCCGGCATACTCCCAAGGTTATTTGTGACTGCTCGCTGTTGGTAAGGGTTAATGGAAAGGTCAGCGCATGCATTGTACATTTACAATACACGCCAAAACATTTTAGTCCATCCACTGAAAAAAATACACCGCAGTTTTTCTCAGTTCATTGGGTTTCAGTCATTTTCAAAGACAGAAACAGACAAAATGCATATGTTTAACCGTTATTAATATTGCAGCATCATTATGTTCTGCTTGCAAGAGAGGGCTTGGACAAAGTACAGAACATCAGGAACCTTGTTACACACGGTACACAGATTAAACATTTGCACGAACTGAAAACAAGTGCCAATTTTTGGAAAAATGTTCTGATATGAACGAAAAACTAAAATACAAAGGCATTCATTCTCAGCCCTTTATCCAGTCTTTGGTGGATGAAAGCCTCCCCAGCTACTAATCATATTTCGCCATGCTGATCAACGTGGGTTGAGGCAGGGGAAATCCATGACAAAATTAGAAATCATGCCACAAATGTTAGGCATGGCTGAGAATTGAACTTAAGTCACCAGGCTCAGAGTGCAATCCGCTAAACAATCTACCTTTAAAGTATAACATAGCATTAGTTTTAATACTTAAACCATTTATAATTGCAGTATCACAGCATAACTATTCAGAGTCAACTGTATACAAGCCAACCATGGCATCACGCCAGTTTTACAAAACATTCACAAACCAACGAAAATGGGGAAATAAGTTGTTACATCTTGTGGATTCATAATGAAACTGAGATTTCAATATTTTAGAAACAGACTACAAGCCAATACGCATATGACCGAATCAACGCATAAATGGACCAAGCTATGTGCATGGTATTCAACAAGTATGTTATTTTACCAAAGTTACATCAGAGTAATATTGCGCATTGGCAAATGGTATTTGCAGTGTAACAGTACTTGTCATTTCGGTTTTCATGATGTTCAACTGGAATATATACCTTCTTCCTGACAAAACACGTTTTTATTACTCTCAGGCACCTATAATAAAGGGTCTTTATTTGCATAAACCACTTTATTACGGTTACTGAGAATGCTATGGCAAGTTTAATTACATCAGCTCTTACACATGAAGTGTTTGTGCAACAACTGGCAAGTTTAATGACATCAGCTCTTACACATCATGAAGTGTTTGTGCATTGTATCGTTGTTGCTGCGATGCCAAATATGCCAAAGACACTGCGGTAGTTACTCTAAAATGATGTACTGCCGTTTGTCAATCCAGTCTGCGGATGAAGGCCTCTCCCACTCCGTGTTGATCATGTGGGGTTGTTTGACAACACTTCCTCACACGAGTCAGTGTCGGGGTTAAGGGGGAGGAGGTCATTGACCAGGAGATAAATTCGGGCAGCCGGGTTCAATGCCCAATGTGCCACTTCTAAACAAAATTACCAATTCATCTTCTTTGGTTCTTTCGGTAAAGTCACGTAGAATGAGAATAAAATAATAAATTGATAAAATAAAATAACACAATAATATTCTCACGACGTTTCGGCCACAACACAAGCGGCCTTCATCAGGTGAAGGGACGAGACTGTCTGGTAGGACAGCGCTGGAGTGGAAAATAACAGTGGCCAAGTGTGGAGTTTCACCGATTTAAACCTACTCACAACCAGAGGTGTTATGGGTACCGTCTTAAATGCACATCGTCTAACAAAGCGGATGTCAAGCCATTTTCAACATCCTCTTTTCGGGAACTAAAGACCCTACACGGCCTTGCATACTGGTATCACAACCTGTTTATGACGTAGACGACTTCAAGCATCATTGACGAGAATGTTAAACTGAATCAGCAGTGTCTCCGTCATAATGTGCGTTACGTCAAATGCCCTATGGTGATGCTAACGGCCAATTCGGTAACAAATATAGTCATGCCTATCCTCGAATAGGAAAAATATCAAAACCAATCATTTTGCGCATCCATAATATCATAGCCCAGAAATGTAGAAGCTTTACAAATAACGCAGGATTACCCTTAAATGTTAAATGCTTTATGACTCATGCTAAGAATTGAACCACATAGTCCTATTATCAAGTAATTTGCCTCCCAGTGTGACGACAAAGCCATTGTAAATGGAGTAAAGTCCGCTATGGGTTATGGCGAAGGCAATAAAGTTCTCACAATATATTTATTTCGTGTTAAGGTTAAAGACTTGCACAGAAATGTAAGACACGACAACTGTATATGGAATATTACTGCTAAGGATTCCATTACTGTATGCCAAACATTTTCAATTGTCCCCATGTTCAAGCGAACAATGCACACTACTAAACTTATTCGGTGTTCCTGATCCAATAAAGGCAAATCCATGTTTCTATGGCGAGGATCAGGCTCTCCACAGGACAACCAGTTAAGTTCTCACCAAGTGGTGCATGCTCACCATGGAGACAATTCCAGAATAAACGTAGTGCAGAAATGACACTTCCACTGTGCTACTATCACGCAAATGTAATGTACAATCTAAAACAGTAGGTTTATATGGACAATCATCTTCTAGAGGGAACTAAAGATGACAATCGTGTTCTAGAAGGGCAATACAGCTTTCATTTGGCATACATGTTATTGGCGGAGATTTTTAAAGTTGCGTGCAAAGAGTTCACTACTGAATCTTTAAACATGCTTTCACAGTCAGAGGTTGATTCGGTTTCACTCATTTGGACACGATCAGCATACAATTGAAATCGCTTTAAGTCTCGTGCTAATATGAATCATATACAATCCCCAACATCAGTGGGCCAGGTATTTGTACCTCCTGCAAACCGTGGCATTAAAGCGCGCAAAGATGAGGCTCTAGCAGTTAAGAGCAGAGAAACGTACACACGGAGGCTACGTTATTTCTTTCAAAGTTACGAGACATCTCAGGTCCAGCCATGGTCGCTCCACCGCTGGATGAATGCCACCTCTCACGACCGCGAGTTCTTTTATAATTCACCCATTCGGACCGTTCATCTTCACCACCATCGCATCACTTTCGCCCTGTCCCCTCCTGCCCAGGCCCATCAACCCACCACTTCTTTTCACAGGATCAATTATTATATTATCAGCAGCACGTTTTCTTGCAAGTGCACCACCACATGTACGTGTGGTTAATGCAGACAGGATTCCTTGCAGAAAGGTAAAAGTATTCTTATTTTTTCATAAAAGGATGAATTACGTCTTTAACCTGCTCGCGTCTCTGAATGCAATTCGAAGCATGCATCCCTCAGAGCCGATTTGCATCATTGCAATACATGCAGTGAATACAAAGTAAAGTGTTCTAAAGGGGTTCTCTATAGCGTCACCATAACATCAAGGTCCTACACACAAAGTCGCATGCTCAATGTTGTGAATTCGACGTGAAGCTAGCGAGGGTGGGCCTCCTGTTTCAGCCCAGCGACAGTGGTGTACATTCCACATTCGTGCGACGGGGAAAGTCCACACCCACTTGACACCTACCCGCTGACGGTAGTGGATCATATTTCTCAACAACAAAAAATGACATTAGCGCCGTAATACGCATTAACATCAGTCACGTAAATGATTGCGAAGTATCTGTAGTCCGTGGGCCACGTGTGAACAAGTGGGGCTAATACTACGTTGTAAGACAATGTAGTAGTATCCCCACGTGTGAACAAGTGGGACTACTACTACGTTGTAAGACAACTACTACTACGTTGTAAGACAACGTAGTAGTACTACGTTGTAAGACAACGTAGTAAGACAACGTAGTAGAATCCCCACGTTGTAAGACTACTACGTTGTAAGACAATGTAGTAGTATCCCCACGTGTGAACAAGTGGGGCTACTACTACGTTGTAAGACAATGTAGTAGTATCCCCACGTTGTAAGACAACTACTACTACGTTGTAAGACAACTACTACTACGTTGTAAGACAACTACTACTACGTTGTAAGACAACGCGTTGCCGCTTCTCGCACCGTTCGAGGTTTCAATGAACGGCGAAGGCCGCGACGGCCTCGCTCGCTGCGCTCCCGACAACCCTCCTCCCCGACATTCACACGAACAATTACGGGCGTACAGTCTCCGCCAAACGTCGATTGTTTAAATAAACACAGGCCGTTTTAGTGTTTGTGTTTTACTCCACGGGGCCTGCCCCGAACGCCTGCGACCGGGGCCGCTGCACGGGCACGGGGCGCCGCTTGTAAATGGTAGCGCACATCGGCGGCGCCTCCGCGTGCGGCGAGAGACAGAGAGACGGAGAGAGTCGCCATCTAACAACAACCGCAACAAACCCCGAGCCCCACGGGGAATTGCGAGGTTGACGAGGAGCGGTGGGACAAGGGAAGAAGCGGGGGTAGACCTTGTACGAGTCCGTGGCGAGGACGATGTTGAAGGGCGCAGCCGCTGCCATGTCGCGTGCGCTCGGAGCGAGCCGCCTCCTGCGACTCTTCCTGGAACCCCGTGACGGCGTCGCCGCGCCGCGCCTTTTATACACTCACACCACCACCACCACCCACTAATACCACCACCACCCACTAATACCAACACTCACTCACCACACCACCACCACCCACTAATACCAACACCACCCACTCACCACACCACCACCCACTAATACCAACACACACCCACCCACCCACTAACACCACCACCCACTAACACCACCACCCACCCACTCACACCACCACCACCCACTAATACCACCACCACCACCCACTAATACCAACACTCACTCACCACACCACCACCACCCACTAATACCAACACCACCCACTCACCACACCACCACCCACTAATACCAACACACACCCACCCACCCACTAACACCACCACCCACTAACACCACCACCCACCCACTCACACCACCACCACCCACTAATACCACCACCACCACCCACTAATACCAACACTCACTCACCACACCACCACCACCCACTAATACCAACACCACCCACTCACCACACCACCACCCACTAATACCAACACACACCCACCCACCCACTAACACCACCACCCACTAACACCACCACCCACCCACTCACACCACCACCACCCACTAATACCACCACCACCCACTAACACCACCACCCACCCACTAACACCACCACCCACTAACACCACCACCCACTCACACCTCCACCACCACCCACCCACTCACACCACCACCACCCACTAACACCACCACCCACCCACAACACCACCACCACCCACTAACACCACCACCCACCCACAACACCACCACCCACTCACACCACCACCCACTAACACCACCACCCACCCACAACACCACCACCCACCCACAACACCACCACCCACTCACAACACCACCCACTCACACCACCACCACCACCCACCCACCCACTAACACCAACACCCACTAACACCACCACCCACCCACCCACTAACACCACCACCCACTCACAACACCACCCACTCACACCACCACCACCACCCACTCACACCACCACCCACCCACAACACCACCACCCACTAACACCACCACCCACTCACACCTCCACCACCACCCACCCACTCACACCACCACCACCACCCACTAACACCACCACCCACCCACAACACCACCACCACCCACTAACACCACCACCCACCCACAACACCACCACCCACTCACACCACCACCCACTAACACCACCACCCACCCACAACACCACCACCCACCCACAACACCACCACCCACTCACAACACCACCCACTCACACCACCACCACCACCCACCCACCCACTAACACCAACACCCACTAACACCACCACCCACCCACCCACTAACACCACCACCCACTCACAACACCACCCACTCACACCACCACCACCACCACCACCCACTCACACCACCACCACCCACCCACTCACTAACACCACCCACCCACCACACCACCACCCACTAACACCACCACTCACTCACTCACAACACCACCCACTCACATCACCACTCACAACACCACCCACAACACCACCACCCACCCACACAACACCACCACCACCCACTCACAACACCACCCACAACACCACCACCACCACCCACTAACACCACCACTCACAACACCACCACCCACAACACCACTCACAACACCACCACCCACCCACACAACACCACCACCACCACCCACTCACAACACCACCCACAACACCACCCACTAACACCACCACTCACAACACCACCACCCACCCACAACACCACTCACACCCCCCCCCACAACACCACTACCCACTCACAACACCACCACCCACTCACACCACCACCACCCCCCCACAACACCACCACCCCCCCACAACACCACCACCCACTCACAACACCACCACCCACCACCACCCACTCACACCACCACCACCCACCCACCCACACCACAACCCCCCACCCCCACCACCCCCACCCCCACACACCACCCCCACCCCCCCCCACAACACCCCCACCCACTCACAACACCACCACCCACTCACACCACCACCACCCACCCACTCACAACACCACCACCCACCCACAACACCACCACCCACCCACTCACACCACCACCACCACCCACTCACAACACCACCACCCACCCACAACACCACCCACTCACACCACCACCACCACCCACATACACCACCACCACCACCCACTCACACCACCACCACCCACACACACCACCACCACCATCCACTCACAACCACCACCCACTCACACCACCACCACCCCCCCACACAACACCACCACACCCCCCATACAACACCACCACCCCACACACACACCACCCCCCCACACAACACCACCACTCCCCCCCACACAACACCACCACCCCCCAACACAACACCACCACCACCCCCCAACACAACAACACCACCACCTCGAAACCTCCTCCCCCAGGGAGACGGCACGGGTACCACCCCGAGATAAATGAAACGCCACAGAGCACGCGAAGCTCTCGTAGCGGTACCAATGTTAGGGGGGTGGAGAATTATTTACAATAAATGTCACGTTGTGGTGGGGTGTTGGTTGGCTCACGAGGATATTAATGGGTTGACGGTTGTTTTTAACTGGGGGGTGAATAAGAAATATTGGGAGGACATCTACATAATTGTGTTCACGTTATATTATGTTGTTTATAGTATTATTGCTGTTTTGGCAGTGATTACACGTTGTTTATCATAACGGACTCGGCCCCGTCATGAACATGTGGAATTTCCATAAATCCATTATATTTGCAGAACAGTAGCCGAGTACTGTATTATACATCCAAATTACAGTTGTCGTGTTATTGACGTGATCTAACATAGTTTAAAATGCGTTGGAATGAGACATACAATTGATGTACTTTCGGTAAACCGAAACTACATCAATTCTTAGCTTCCCTTTTCACGGAAATGTCGTAATCACTGCCTCGATGGTAAGCACTGTTAATGACTCCTGGCCACCACTACTCGTGGTCTCTTGCGCAACTTGACACACCGAGTCACTTGCGTGAGCCCAGACGAGGAAGCCACCTCTCATCCTCACCTGGGGTGCACTGACTTGAACCATTCACATTTTTCGTGGCCAATATAATTACGGAATAACCAATCCAAATTATTTGGCTATCAGATCATTCGCATTTATTAGCCGTATAAATACATCGGTAGTTGACTAAAGTGTTTGGTACCTTAAGTGGACTGCAGTATATTTGCTTTTATAATTATCCGTCTCATTACATGAAACACCGTAGCACCCCTTAGACTGACACGTAACACGACACTGATCCCTTTCGATGTCCATCCTCTTTTCAGTTTCAGTTCCATTTATTTGGTATAGCCCTGTGAGCCATTCGGCTCTTGAATCGGGTGCAACCGCAACAAACAAAAAACAAAAACATGAACAAGAAAACATCTTAAAGTGACTTTGTGCATGTGCAAACAGAAAAGCCAGGAAAAACAGCAAAATATTTCTGAAAAAGCACCGTACACCAACGCTGTGTGCAAAAATCCCAGGTTGATGCAAGTCAAACAACAACAACCACAAGACAACTTAGATTAAGGCCATCAGTCTCCGTACTACAACAAACAAACATGGTCAAACCAAAACACTTTTCGAAATCACCAAAATAAAGCCATAATTGCAACGTAACAGTGATCATAGGGACTGTGACAGAATTTTTTACAATAAACTACATAAATAACATGTAACACCAAACCCTAGAGCAGTGGTTCTTAACCTTGTTGGAGGTACCGAACCCCACCAGTTTCATATGCGCATTCACCGAACCCCTCTTTAGTGAAAAATAAAATGTGATTTTTTTCAAATTCAAGACATAGATGTGTTTTTTACTGGTACACAAAATGAGCCGTGCATGAACATTACCTTGTTCAAAGAATAAAACCAACACAATGCATAAACTCACAACAAATTACATACCTGGAAATCAATGTGACTTCTGCTGTTGCCTTTGAGAGATCAGTTCAGATATGCGTGGCTTCACCTTGGCAAGTGCCACTCTCATGTCATTTTCACAGCAAAGTCTGTTCCTTTTCTTCGTTTTTATGTCCAGCATCCTCGAAAAGGATTGCTCACAAAGATATGTTGTAACAAATGGTATAAAAAAATCCAGGGCTTTCTTAGCAATAACTGGATACTTGTTCATTTGTCGACACCAAAACGTTGAGAGCGTTGTTGTTCTGAAGAGTTGCTGTTGAACCTGGCTCTGCTGAATTTCAATGATTTCGTCGAGGAATTCATCATTGACATCTGCTGTTTCAACAGCAAACGTGAACGGCTGTCTCACCCATGCTGGATATGACTCTCTTGTAGGGAAATATCCGTCGAGAGACTTTGCAAGCTCATCTAAGTGCGTGGCAATTGTTTGCTTCAGTTCCGTGGATACAGAAATATCTCCGATTCCAGACACATCTTCGATCTTACTTGCACAGTCGTCCAGAAGCGGGAAGTTTGCGAAGTTATTGTTCTCTGTTCGTCGTTTCCATAACGGTAGCTTTTTTTGAAAAGCCTTCAGGTGTTCTTCCGCTTCCATGATATTGACTCCACCACCCTGCATCTGCTGATTGAGATGATTGAGAGCTGCGAATATATCAGCCATGTACGCTAAAATGAGAATGAACTCAGGATTTTTGAAGCAATCTGCATGGCAGTGTTGGTGCTCTTGCAAAAACAGGGCTAATTCCACACGCATGGCAAAAACACGATTCAGCACCTGTCCCCGGGATAACCACCGAATATTAGAATGGAGCAGAAGTACCTCAAATTCAGAGCCCATTTCTTTACACAGCTCACTGAAGATGCGGTGCCTCAGAGCACTTTTTCGCACATAGTTCACACATTCCACCACAGTTTTTAATACTTCTGTCATTTTTGGAGGTAAGGTTTTTGTTGCCAACGCATGCCTGTGCAGAATACAATGCGTCACAATGATGTGTGGTGCATCGGCCTTTACTAGCGCACCAAAACCAGACTTTCTTCCCAGCATGATTGGAGCTCCATCCGTACAAACTGCAGAAACCATATCCCATGAAAGATTGTTGTCTCTGAA